AAAAAAAAAAAAAAAAAAAAAAGTTGGACCGAATATGCTAATTTCTATTATTTTACCCAAGCTTGTAAAAACTTACGAAAAATATTCTGCTTAGAATTTACATAAAGTATACAGTGCATTGCCCACTGTATAATCTTAATTCATATCTCAATGCAAGACAAATTCAATGGGGCAACTTTATCTTCATCTACTTTACCTCCACCTATAGTAATTCAAGGTGGAAAACTATCAAGACATATTTAAAGGCCTGGTTTTGGCTCACAAGGTACTAGGTTGTGTAGAAAAAACTTTAAGAAACTAGCATTTCCCCAATGATATCCATTCCCTGCTCAATATGGGATTGATTTTTTTGAACTGAAGTTAATAGGAAAACTTGCCTTTACTTGTGAAGGAGCAGGTAGGATGTACCCAGCTACCATTGTCATTCTTAGCAAATATATCAGTGCAGTGATATATTTGATTTGGAGCACCATTTACATCCCCATTACATCAGATTTCTCACAGGTTGAGGGAAGAGAAGGTAATCATATTTTTTTCAGATCAATTAAAACTGATGCTGCATTAACAACTTGAATCAAATCTTCCATCTCAGAATTGCTTCATAAACAAAGGCCCAGCCTTGAGACTGAGAAATGCTAATCATAATAAACACTTTTTAAATCAGTAAAATATAATGCAAAAATATTGTATAGAAATGCATCCACCCATACAGTGGGCAGGGGAATAATGTGCCCTTGCTCATACAGTTACTAGGTAAGAAAAGGTCAGTGAAGAATAAATTAGAATTACAGCAATGTGAGTATTCCTCCTTTTGTTTTATAATGATATAAACCAGTAATAACAACAAAAGTAATAAAAATGAGGAAGTTCTAAGTACTCTGTGTTGTGCCTAGTTTGTATAAGAACTGCATGCAAAAAAGTTATTAAAAGAACACTGTTCAGGTTGCAAAGTTAAGCATTCAAAAATCAGGGGATTCCTGAGTTAACATGGCAGAAGGTGTTATTAGGGCATTAAAAGCATGGCAGCTTGTGCCATTTAATTCAGCCCCCTTGGGCACATGCATTGATTTAATTACATGATCACATAGTAGTTTCTCCTGATTGTGAAATGTGTGGGTCACAAATGATATTTGCTGTACTACATTTAAAATCCTTCCCTGACTGCAGAATTCTTCATTTACTCTTGGGATATTCCATGTTAGAGAGACAGTTTGCCATGTTAATCTGAAGTCAAGTAGAAAGCAGGGTAGATTTCCACGTTATAGACCAGAGGTGTCAGAGATCCAACTCACAGAGCCCCTTCATCTGGCTCCCAGTATTGCCCTAGGTCTGAATTCACCCATGTGCTGCATGATGCGCACTGAACCAGTCCCAGCACACTACAGCAGACTGATTCCAGCCAGTCTGGTGGTACAGTGCCCCTTCCCCTTGTTCCACATGTGACACAGTCCTGGACTAGCCCAAGGGAGAGGCACAGATCCTGGACTGGCCAGAGAGAGTACCACATGCAGCACAGTTCCTACAGCACTGGATTCAGCATGCAGGGGAGAAGGAACAGGGGTCTGTGGGCCTGATTCAGCCCACAGACCAGCCCCATGCCACTCATATGGCCCATGGGACCAGATGAGTTTGACATCTCTCATGAACGATGGCTGGGGGGCATGGCAGTGGTGGGAGCATGTTGGCAGAAGCGCAGCAGTGGTAAGCAGGGGAGCTCCCAGTGGCCAGCGGTATCGGTGGCAGGCTGGCGAGTGGCGACCACCCACAGGTGCTGCTGACCATGTAAGCAGCGCAT